GGGGGGGGGGGGGTTGTTTTTTGGTTGCAATAGGTGGCCACTGCGGCGGAGGAGTACGGGTACCACATGGGGCTTGCGTTCCAGATCGTGGACGACATCCTCGACATCGTGGGGGCTGCAGATGTGAGTATTCAAACAGTCGAAATGCGTTCAGTATGGCTTCAACAATATGTCTCGTATAGAGAGGAGGGGGCGGGCACGACCCGATACTTTTTATGTTTTTTTTCAACAACGCAACGAACGAACACAAGTGGATGAAGTTCTGATAGTTGAAACTTGAAATGTGCCTCTTCGTCATCTTGTGCTCTCGGGAATCAGCTCTCGCACAACGACCGCAAAACGAGAAGTTGAGAATCAACACAAATCTGTGGATATGGATGTGTTGTTTCTGTAAGAAAATGCCATAAAATGGGAAGGGAGTGAAAACGCGTCTCTTAGGACAGCAGTACCGGCGCTGATCACGTTGTGTGGGGGCAAAACGAAAGTGACTGTTGTTGGCGGTGCCGATACACTGCATTTCCGGGGGTCAGCAATTATCGTTTGTGCACAAGAGCAAGATATGCTGCAACAATAATGCTGCACGTCTCCATAGGGAACGAAAGGTGCTTCGATGGAAAGATGATGGTATATATGATAACGCTCGGAGTGGAAACGGAGATTCTGATCATTGGCAGACGCACTGCTGTCTTTGATTTGTTTGGCCGCTCTTTTTTTCCATAGGTCCTGGGAAAGCCGGCTATGGCGGACATGTCGCTGGGGCTCGCGACTGCGCCCATCCTCTACGCCGCGGAAAACGCGCCGGAGATCAAGAAGATCGTCAAGCGCAGATTTAAGAAAGAGGTGAGAGCCGAGTCTAAGTTGCCCTTCGGTTGTCGTCATCGCTCGCCGGAGCGGAGGCCATGAGAGAAGACGTCGCGCTGCCGTATGTACCCTTGGTGACGCAAGATATCACACCCCGTAGACTGATTTTCAACAGGTGCGTCTCTCCTCAAGAGCGGAGTTGCAGAAATGTCGGCGTTGGAACCTTGTCCTCGAGCTTTGAACATCGGTCCAGGGGAGGTGATATCATGTTTTGTTTGTTTTTGTTTTTATCCCATCATTGGACTCTGTCGTCTGCCCCTCTGGCCCCTATCCTCCACTTCTACCAGCTAGACGACCCAACGGGGGTCACATATGAGGAGGGGGGTTTGACCCCCTCATGCGGTTCCTGCCTGAGATATTTTTGTCGCGAGAAGGGTACAGCAATCCCTTCCCTCGCGACTTACGAAGTCGATCAAGCTTACTTTTATAATAACAAGCTTTGCAGCGCGTCGCTTCCAACGGAGACCAGGATTTATTTAATTAGCGAGAAAAAACTCACTCTGTCGGGACTAGAACCCATGACCTGGCCCTTAGCAGTCTGCGAGGCTACCTACTAGACCACCGGGGCGACCGGCCAACTACCTACGGTATATTTGTATGGCGAGTCTCTACTAGCAGTTGGTAAGCTTTGGCCGGGAAGGCGTTGCTGGGGTCCGCCCCTTCGAAAACGTCATTAAACGGCGGCAGACATTTCATAGCTTTGCAGTCAAATATCGCTGTCTGTCCTTGAGGTGACCCCCCAACCCCCGTTCTGTCGCATCCCGCTCGCAGGGGGACAAGGAGAAGGCCTTGAAGGCTGTGCTCGCTGGGGACGCGGTTGCAAGGTCGAGAGAGCTAGCGCGGTGGCATGCACAGGTATGCGGGGGTGTCCATCGGCAAACGTGTCAAGCCTTGCTTGGCCTTGACCTTTGGCGCGGCTCATGATTGAGAAGTGGTCAGCCTTCCTGTGGGTGTTTCATTACAGTCGATCCTCGGCTAAGAATACACCCGGTTGTTGTTGTTGCTACGAAAGCCTTCCTGAAGCCGGGGATCGTTAGGGTTGATACCCCTCCTGATGCTGTACTTCATTCTGCTAGCGACCATGCGTGTGAAAACAAATTTGTCCTTCGCCAAGGGAGTTTCCGTAAACTTGTGTGTCCTTCAAGCGAGGCACGACTGTACGTTGCCTGGTTCATTGCTAAGAAAGCCGTCCTTATGCCGGGGAAGTGTCGTTAAGTTTGATACCCCTCCTTCTGTTGTACTTTGATTCTGCGGGCGACCATGCCTGTGAACAACAAGTTGTCGTTCACAGAGGGAGTTCCTTAATGTTGGTGTGCTTAAGCGAGGCACGACTGCACGTGTTTTTGGTTGGAGAGTGGTTCCAATTGTCTTTTACACATCGACTCGTTCCAGATATCTTTTATACATGGACTCGTTAGCCCCAGCGCTTTCGTATAGTGTCTGGTAGAACCTCCCTCCCTCCCACCCGCCCGCTCGCGGGCGCAAAGTTCGACCACCCCCCTTTACCAACCCCACCAGTAGGTTTGTTATGGACGTTTTCTCTGCAGCGTCCGGCCTATGGTGTCATCTGTATCCGTAACTCCGCTGTCCCTTCCTCTTCCTCTTGGTTTTCCGACGCACGCGCAGAGAGCCGTTGACGCTGTGTTGAGGCTGCCGCCCTCGGAGGCACGCAACGGACTCGTCAACATCTGCCATATCGTCCTCACTAGGAACAAGTAATAAAGGATTAAAAAAAAAAGTGGGGTGGGGTGTAGACGGAGCAGGCCACGGCTCTTCTTCGCAAACCTCGACAGGGCGTTGTTTGGAACCAGTTGCTGCTTCTGGAAAATAGTCTCGTCTCGTCGGACTCGTCTGTTTTAGCTCCCCCTTCTTAATTTTGGTTGCCCGTGAGGTGGTCGGACGACGCGGCGGGCGTGCGGTTTAGAGTGCGGCGACAGGGCGGGCGGGGGGGGGGTGGTCGTGTCTCTCCAGCTGCAAGCGGTCTCAAGTGATTCGAATTTTTGTGCTGCTCCGAGTTTTCTGCTGGAGGCCTGTTGGTTATGACGGCGAAATTTCGACAAAAATGACAACAGGAAAAGCTTCCGTGCTGCTGTAAGACGTGAAACGAACGGCGTGACACGGGTTGGAATATTCGGCAACCGTTGCACGGCGTGGCGGGCCAAATAGGGAAAAATATCGGGGTCCCCGACAGGTCGTCCCACTCGATGGGCGTCGACCGCAAGTTATCACAACGGGTTGAAGTGTTCTGTGTGTTCAAGACTGAAGAATAGCATTTTGCGAACTGCCTTGACCCCTCCCCTTCCCCTTCCTCGAGCATGATTGGCCTTGGTTCGTCTAATGACACGCTCCGTTTGAGGGAACGTTTTTTTTTGTGGACCGTGCGTGCTGTCCGAAAAAAAATCGTGCATGCATACATGAATGACGTTGTGCACTTGACTTTCGTGGGCGCTAGTTACGGTAGCGCGGACAAAAAAGGAAAGCTCGCAGATCTCGCTGCTGTTAGGGTCCCTCCCCAAGAGAAGCTCCCGATTGAGGCGGGAGAGAGGGGGATTGTATTGCTGCAGGGAATTGAAGCCCACTTTGTTGTGATGGCATGGATTGGGGCTGTTGGAGGTCGCGTAACATGCGCAATCACTGGAGTAGAATCATGCCTGCTTGCTTCATGTAGTCGTGGCGGAGAAATCACGAGAGCGGCTTTAGCACGGGTTTGGTTCTGCGGGAGGATGGGGAATGCGCGGGGTAAATCGCTCCATATGGTGGAGGGGCGAGTTACGTAGCGTTGCTGCTCCGCTTGTACAGGTGTTTTAGGGGTTTAAGAAAGCTTTTTTTGATTGTCTTTGGTTTCTCGACGGTCGTGGTGGGAGTGGGAGGGAGGTGTATACATTCTGAGTAGTCTCGATCTGTCGAGTTGCTCGACAAGTTCTGCGTCGAATGCCAATGTCACCTGGTTGATGACCGAAGTCGGGCAAGACAGTTCGCGTGACATTTGTTTGAAGTTGAAAGGCGGCCTTCCGGCCGGCGTAGCTGGGTGTCGGAAGTGTTGCGATTGGCTGGACCCTCGCGAAGTTTCATGTGTGCGTGTAGCCGTGTGCGTTTTGGAGTAGTTGCGTGTGACGTGGTCGAGAAAGGGAGCAAGGCCTGTTCCGAACGGTCCGTCGCCTGGTAATGGTGTTGAGAAGTTGCCCTGCCAGGGCGTGACGGGCGTTACATGGTGGCCGCCGTCCCTACCTGCCGCATCGTTAACAATACTTTTTGTGTGATAACAATAACACTCTTGTGTGTAACAACACCTTTGTGTAACACTTGTTGTGCGTCAACATGACACAAAATTCTCGTGCGGTGACACGGCACCGGCAACCAAGCGGAGATGACCCTTCCTCGGAGATGACGCACATGATGTGTAGTGCAGCACGTCCCGTGTTTTGGGCAAGCAAGGTTTTCGATGAGAGTGATGTAGCAAAACGGGGGGCGCCGAAAGCATCTTGTCCTGCTGGGATGGGGGGGGTAAGGGCGAGAGATGCACCCAAGACCCCCGTGATTCTGTTGTGCGGACATGAACGAGACAAGGATTTTTTAGGAACCGAACATTGTATGTATCAAAGAGAGGCTGCACTTTCGAGAACAAAACACAGTCGGAGGCCATGGGTTGAAGGATTTTCTGCAGGAAAGAGAAAGGGGAGAAACAACCTCTCCCCCGCCCACGCTGGTCCAGTAGTGGTTTCGGTGTAATGCCGGTGCGATCCAGCCGATTGCACTGACCGGCAAAATCGCGGGCAACTGGCATTGTGGCGAGTATGAAACAACCTGGAACATTCCGTGTGTCGATTTAATCGGCAATATAACCGGACCTGAAGTTGCGGCAAACACGGTGTAAGTAGGGCTACGAGGTGGTGTGACGTGCTTCGTAAGGACAAAAAAAACATTTGGATGGGTAGAACTTCGAACGTTGTTCAAAAGCAACAACACCACGAGGTGGCCACGGCCAACGTGGAGGAACCCAGCCCCCTAGCTCCTCCAGGAGGAAGGCAGGGCGTTTCGGGGCTACCCGTACCCAAAAAAAAAATGTTGTCAACATAATGTAGCATCCGTGACGCACTTCACGACATGTAGCCATTTCTACACAGCGAGCAACGCGCTCAACACATGCCTACGCAACCCCACGTTTTAGCCTACATGGGCAGGCATCGTATAAAATATATGTGAGGGCAATGGTGAATGAAATAGTCTACATGCACAACGACGGGCATAGATACAAAGCCGGCCTCAACGACGGGAAAAAACGCAAAACGCTTTTGTAGAAACCACGACCAATCTCCCATTCCCCCTCGCAAGTACACACCATTCACGTACACACCATTTGTCGCAAAGGGACCCGGCATGTCGTTACGCCAACTCTTTCGACACATCACCATCCATTCTTCGTGTTATGAACACCTTGCTTGCACGAAACCAACCTTTCGCCTCCACATCTCAAAAATAGCCCAGAAGGCCTCCGTCTACAAGTACAAGACTGGCACGGAAAGTTCTAACCCTGTATGAACAACGGTTTAGACGCCCCACGAGTTATTAAAGTCCTGCATGAAAACAAGGTGGGCTTAGAGCTTAGATTGCGATAGCCGAGAGGCAACCACTGGCACTCGGTCACCCCACCTCTCCCTGTCACCCCACTCACCTCTCCCTGTGTCAAACTCAATGGCGCACATGAGTTCACAGCCACGTAAAACAATAGACTGACTGCACATGCACGTTCACCCCACGTCTCCCTGTATGTTTCGAAATCAGGCGCTACGCTTTCAAATCACAGGCTCACACAACACTGGTGTATACACGGGATGCACAATACGTTAGACTAATATAGGTTGTACACTTCAAATCACAGGTGGTACACAAACAAGACTGGCTACAAAAGCACTTTGACACAAACTTTATGCTGCGATACACCAATCAGCGACACAACACCTACCATGCATCATACCTTCTCTCTCCTTTCTCACTTCCTCTCCCGCGCTTCCGTGTCCATCTAAGACGCCAGCACTCAATGCCGGGTAGTGACACCAACCATCCACAGGAACGAATGCCTCTTCTTCTAAAGCAAAAGTACGTCGAGCTATATCTTCGGTTCCGTTCCGAAGTAAAAGTAGACACAACAAGTCACAGTCCCTGTTCCAGAGTAACAGTAGCAGTAGACCCAGCAAGTCCTGAGTACCTGAACTAACGGTCTCGCCAGAACCGTAGCTAAGCGTATGTTTCAGAAAACATTTGCTATACAACCGAAATTTTCATTTGGTACAAGTACATCACACAAAAGACCCTTCCCCGACCGCGGGCGCTATCGGGGCGTCCCGGCCTCAGCCACGCTTCGCCGCCCGGATCTCCGCCAGAAGACCTCCGATTCCTGCCGCGCCTTGGCAACCACCGCTCTGGGTGCCGCCGCCGCCACCGCCGCCGCCGCCAACACGTTCTCCGCGTGCCCGGATCTCCGCCAGGAGACCGCCCATGCCTGCCGTCGGTTGGCCACCGCCGCTCTGCGGGCCACCGCCGACGCGGGCCCTGATCTGCGGCGGCATTCCCAGCATCGGCGGGGGCGGCGGCGGAGGGGGCGGGCAGCCGGTCAAGCGAGAGCCGCTGCTGCTCCTGGCGGCGGTCGTGGACAGGAGGGCGCGGAGGTGCTTAGACTTCGGCTCCCACGACGCAGCGGCGGCGACAGCCGCGGCGTTGGAGCCCCGCTGCTGCGGCCGGGGCGAGGTGCCCGCCTTCCTGGTCCGACCGGGAGCGGTAGCCGGGGCCCGCCCGAGCAAGGTCTTGCTCAGGGTCTTCTCCAGCACCGCGCCGAAGGCCTTGATGCGGCCCTTGGCGTGCCCTCCACCGACGGCCGAAGTCTTCCCTCCGGCCATTTCGTCTTCCCCCTCGGCGGCATCACCACCGCCACCGTTGGTGCTGCTCTTGCCGCCGTTGGCCCCTGCCATTCCGCGGGGCCCCCGGAGGAGGAGCAGGAGAAGACCCTCGTTATCTCTTCCTTCCGGATTTTGGCCTCCTCGTCCGCGGTGACGAACCGGAGGGACCTGCTCTTGTCGCTCAGCCTCGACCGGAGCTCGGGGTTAGGGTCGAACGCTCCCTCGACCTCCGACCCCTCTTCCACCTCCTCGAACTCCTCCTCTTCCTCGTCCTCCTCCTCTACCTGCCCGTCCGCCGTGGATGTCGCCGCCGCCGCCTCCGCGGCCGCCGGGCCACGTGCCGGGACGGAAGCAGTAGCGGCGGCTGTCGTCTCCGGCTGCTGCTGCTGCTGCTGCTGCAAGCGGAGGAGCTTCCTTGCGGACAGCAACCGGCGGGGAGCCGCGGCCTCCGCTAGGGTGCCGTCCACCGTGGACGGGCTCTCCCGCAGCGCGCGGGCCGCCGTCGCCACGTCACCCTCTCGGCGTTTCGCCTCTTTCGACAGCCTGCGTGAGGGTTGTATTTGACGGGTGGGGGGGGGGTAGCGATTATGGGTCTTGACTTGCATGTAGGCACGGAGTCGATTTGCCGGTACTTCCAATCCTCACAACATGTTTCTACGGTAAAATCGCATCTATCTACCAGTTTGTTGTCTTCACATCAAAAACCGTTCCGATCTCTCTTCCTAATACCTGCATCTGTCCGTACTAGTCTAACACTTGACGCGGTTGATTCCCCTGGTGACAGGCTAACATACCCAAAAAAAGGTATATTCCCGCGGTCACAGACTAACTTACCCCCCAAAAAGGTATAACCCCGTGGTGACTGGCTAACTTACCCCAAAACAGGTATACTGAAATAAAAATGGCCCCGAAGGATCCGCAAGCCAATATTGGAATTGCCGGTAACTCCATGCCTATATGATGAAAGTCAAGACCCGAAATGGCTACCCCCACCCGTCGAATGAAACCCGCATACAGGCTGTCCAAGCAGGAGGAACGCCTGGAGGGTGACGTGGTGTTGGCCGCCCGCGCTCTGCGGCGTCAAATACAACCCGCGTACATGCTGTCCAAGGAGGAGAACGCCTGGGGGGTAACGTGGTGTCGGCCGCCCGCGCTCTGCGGCCGCGCGCGGGCGGCCGACACCACGTGACCCTCCAGGCGTTTCTCCTCCTTGGATCTCCTGTATGCGGGTTCTATTCGACGGGTGGGGGGTAGCCATTCTGGGTCTTGACTTGCATAAGGGCATGGAATCGGGTTACCGGTATTCCCAATCCTCACGAAATATGTTCTATGGTTCAGTAAAAGCGCATCTACCATACATTCCGACCAGTACTTCCAATTCTCACAAAATACGTTCTGCTACAGAAAAACAACACACACACATACCTGGTGACCTCCGACTTGGCCTCTTCTCTGGCCCTCCGGAGATCCTCCGGCTTGCACGTGGCCCTGTTGAACGGATGGCGAGAGTCCTCGAGGACGTACTCGTACTCTTTTCTCGCCTTGGGGAGAAGCTCGTCCCTCACCTGATAACGGCGACGACAGCGCGGCCGTGAGGAGATGGATGGATGGTGAGAATCAACGATGACGAATGAATCGATGATTCTTCATGTTGTTGTCTTTGTGAGAAATCAACTCCGCATGCTTCGCGACATCGTCGTTTTTGTCAGCGGGTTAGAACGAGGTTAATTCAAGAAAGACGCACATAACGCGCGCACACACAGCATACGGGGTGCCAGATCATGGCCTTTAAAATCATTTTCTGATTTCAATCGCACTGAGACTGACGTCTATGTTCATTGGTCAGCCGGTTAGCGCGGCCGATGCAACTAATAACAACGCGGGAAGCCGAACTCACCTTGGTCAAGTCGACCTGCTTGACCTCCAGCCTGCGCTGCCGCTCTCGGAGCTTGTCCACCCTGGCCTGCACCTCCGCCGCCGTCGGATAGAAGTACTCCTTCCTCCTGGCCTGCCCTGCGCTCAGCTCGGGGAGGCGCACTTGCCGCCTGGCCGAGATCTCGGGGTCCCAGCCCCCGCTGACCGTGTCTCCTCTCTCCTGGACACCCCAAAGCACGAGGGACACGAGCGAGAACAAAATACGCAATGAGGGTTGTTTGTGTATGTGCAAAAAGCGTTGAAAATATGCTACCGGCCTGTGTACCAATAATTTCCTGTGAGTCAACATGTTGCTGTCGGTGGGACAGCGTGGAGCACAGATTGTGGCGGTCGAAGTTGGCCGGCATATGCTAAAACAAACAATCGTGGGCAGCCATTAATTGGTGGTGTGTACACAGTTTTTTTACTTCACGGTCGACGAGAGGAAGGAACGCATAGATAAATCCTGCTCGAGATGGAAAGGAAAGCAGTCACAGCAGGCAGCCGGAAAGTGGAGGGGGGGGAGGACTCCGGTCTGTTTGGACTCTCCTACATCATGACCCAGCTAGGAGCAGTGCCCTCAAGCAAATAGATCAAATCGACGGTGTTATAGTCAACGTCCAGACCAAATGGGATGCCAAGACCACGCTGATTTTACCCCAAATACTGTCAAACATATATGGCTGTTGCAGTAAATACTGCCATACCGTGCACTCTCTCTCTCTCTCTCTCTCTCTCTCTCTCTCTCTCTCTCTCTCTCTC